TACTATCTTTTACAACCATGTATCTGAAACTCTAATAGGGTTATTTAGGAAATAATCAAAGTAGCAGAAGTTATGTACACAAACATGCAAATTAAGAGGAATAAATGAAATGCTTCACTTTATTAAGAAACCAAAAATACAAAACTGAAGAGTTCAAGGCTTCATGTACTCAAACACTACTGAAAAATGGAATCTTAAACTTATATTGTTTACTAGCAGTACTAATATTGACCAAGATTAATTTCTACAAGATAGTGTTAAAAGTTGACATTTTCCACCATTTGTGCTGTAATAAGCTAGAGTTTCAAATTAAGAACTTGGTGCAGTTACAGTAAAGTCTTGATATTTATACAAGTGTGGTTTTAGCTGATATGCCGTTTTGTAGCCAAGATCTTTTTAGCTCAACTACAACTTTCTCTAGTTAGTGAGTTTTAGGATGAGCAGGATTTGTTTCATCAGCTATAGCTCTACTGAATGACATTCCATGCAAAGATACAGCTTTTACATCACTTAGGAGACTTAGATGCTGTTTGTTTCAGGCTAATACAGAGCTCTCAAGGCATGTTGTAGAACATACTGCAAGTTATATTTTAGAGAATATCTTAAGGTAGCATATGCAAGCTGAACTACTCAGGGAGCCCTGCAGATTACATAAACGTGCCCGTTCATATGGGATAGTTTATGCTGACTTGTTGATTCAGTCACACTTACCAACCAACCGTTCACTGCTTTAGCTTTACCTGACAGTTCAGCTCTCCTCAGGTGCGAAGTTACAGGCTCCAGGAAATAAAGGGAAGGTTAACTGAGCTCTGATTTAGTAAGAGCAGCATAAGGGAGGGGAGAAGGTTTGTGGAAAAGGAAAGGAGACACACAGACAATGAATTATTAGCTTCAAGTAAAGAACAGAAGACACTTCTGGAATAATTATTCCTAACAATGCATGAAAGTTCACTTGCTTAGAGATATTTGAAATACAACTTTATTATCTAAACAAAAAAAAAAGAATGGGAATGACAGAAACAAGATTTACCACTTAATACTCTGATGTGACTGCAGCAGTCTTATATTTGAAACTCAAAGGGGAAGTAATTGCAGTCCAAAAAACAGCTAAATATGCAGGTCCAAAATATGAAGTTTTTTTGTTTTGTTTTTTAAACTGCCACATTCACTCCGAAGCCCATTCATCTCTTTCAGCATCCCAAAGATTAAGCACATGTTCTGCTCAGCTAGATAATAAAGTGGCAAACACGCTGCACCACTGACATCACAGGACAGTTGCCTATAAAACTAGACTTCTGACGCTGGGCTCCAGCTTCATCCCTCACAGGTCATCATCTTCATCTGGCAGTGCAGTGGTTTGAGCAATCTGAAAGAAAAAAAGCTACATTTAAGAATTGTTCTTCACTTGTTCGCCCCATAGTATCAGACAAAGGCCACAGACACAAAGTGACTGCCCATTTCTCAGTTACCTGTAAGTCTTGCTCATACTGTGCTGCCAGTGCTGGGTCCATAACAACTTCTGGGGGTGCAAGAGCAGGCATGGCAACAAACTCCAAGTTAGGATCTCCAATTAGCTTTCTAGCAAGCCAGAGGAAAGGCTTCTCAAAGTTGTAGTTACTCTTAGCTGAAATGTCATAATACTGCAAAGATAGTACATATTAGACACATGATCTCATTTTCAACAATTCTAAGATTACTAAAACTAGTATGTATTTGATCAGCTCTGTTTTTACTTTCCACTCATCCACTGCATGATCTTCATCTACGTTGTCATAAAAAGTTAAGATCTTAAGGTCTACAAACAGTTTTAGGTGGATAATTACTGTATACTGTCTAACTAAGTACACAGTAACTGACCAAGGATCAAACTTCCAGGAGATAAAGCATCTACTTAATTTTCCTTGCAACTTGCTTATCTGGAAGGGTCTCTGCAAGGCCTGATGAGACTCTAAACAGCAAAAGCCAAATGCATATAAACTCTTTTAATCTCTTATCATAGCTTCTCCTCAAGGTTATGAGTGAATCCTCAACAAGACCCATTCCCCCTTCCCTGAAGTTAGGTTCAAGACACAAA